CTTAAAGCTATCGCTGTGCGCTAAACCCCGTGGCTTGGAAGGATGCCAACTGACGGAATAACTTGGACACCACACAGTCAGCCCAATGTGACGCAGAGGCAGGATGCAACGGTTTCTTCTTAATATGGCTTCTATGGCACTCCTACTCCGTGGGATCCTGGCCAAGTGTGATGGTACGCTAAGGAGCGACTACGACAGCGCCAGCCACACGCCCCCTCTCCCGCCTCCGGTCTTTTTTAACTTACGAATGTGAACGGACCAGGCAGAGGAGAAGGTGCGGTAGATGCAGAGCAAGACTATTCTCAATATAATATAATTCGCGCTCAAGTCACCGCGCTTGCTGCCGGAGTGCAGTGAGACACATCGTGGACATTGTCGAAGCCGACGGTCGATCTATGCAAGTACGATAAAACCAATGCAATTATTGAAAAGTTTGCAAAAGAAGTATCGTCGAGACTGCTATTATATTCTCCATTGTGCGGTGTTCGACCCCATTGTCAAAAACCTACAAAGGGTACATAATATGCACCTCCTCAAACTTCAGTTACAAAGGTTGTGTCTGTTACTGGACCTACCTCGATCCGACCGCTAACGGCTATGTCTTTTATCATAAACAGTCTTCCATACAGTCACATGCATGGAGCGCTACACATGACTAGGTCTCGTCTGCCAGGGCATTAAAATAGTCTGAAAAGAAGCATCTCGAGAGCGAATTCATGGAGGCTGCCAGTTATAAAAGCGTCCAACTCCGACATGCATCCTCTAAGAGTAACCACTTCCACCATCTTCACTCAGAAGTTTGTTGCCAGCGTAGACTTACGCTAACACCCAAATGAGATAAGATGTGAACGAGGCTCCTTCTCGTGTGACCCATAGGATACAGACAATAACCAAGTTGGGCATTTATTCTCCTCCCACAAGCGACAGTTTTTTCTCCTTAAAATCCCTCAAATGGCACTCAAACTTCTAGAATTTCTCAAAAATGCCTAGGGAGTTTTCTTTCATGTCTGCTCTTTTTGCTCAATTCTACCTACTGGCTCGTGTGA